TAAGAGAATTATTGTCAACACTAGACCACGACCAATGTGTGTGCTTTTCTTAAATAACTGCACGCACTGGTGATTCGCATTTTCTTTAACATAATAAACACCTTTTATACGACTATCTATTGATGTTAAACATTTCTATAAAGGGCGAATCCAATTTATTAACAAGCATGTTCATAGATAAGGTAGTAAACTCAGTTGATTTATATCAAATTGGGTTGAACTCGTGTGTCATATAGTGATCGTTTAAAATCAGTTTAAACTAGGGCGGATCCAGAGCACTTTTATGAAAAAAGTGTCACGGTCGTGTGCTTTATCCTTTATCATCAGGCGATGGAATATAGGATGGGCATTCACAGTGCGATATAATGATACGGACACATGTTATATAACAATTTATGCTTCGCATCAATGAGATTGAATCACAATGTGATCTTATTAATTCGTAATAAAATTGACGTCAAACGGGGCGTTGGATTTCGGTCTTTAAAAAGCTCAGTGTGCATGTATGCCTACGTAATTTGGAGAGGATGATGGCATCATACATAGTCAGCTGTCAAATTTCCTGGCAAACCCCCTCCTGCAGAAATTCCTGGATCCGTCCCTGTTAACTTTTCGTTTTCGGCTTAAACTGTCGATAGTGGATATGGAATTTTAAATGTAAAACTGGTCCTGATCCACAAAGCAAATTAACACATCCCACTTATATCGACATTTTTTTACCAACATTTAACGGTGATAATTAATGGCTATATCCAACTGTTATATTTCTTGTTTAGTTATTTAAAATATATATATATATACATGAATATTATAATTGTAATCTTTCTAAAACTTATTGGATCATATGATTTAATAATGCGAATCTTGAGTCTACAAACCATTTTCATAATACTTAAACAGTAAAATCTACCCGAACATGATAATAATTTGTATAGCGTCTCTCATCTAGAACTGTTCTACTCGATGGAGCTGGGCTTCACTGTCACGTTTGGTATTCACCGTTAAATAGAGAGAAAGAGAGAGAGAGAGAGAGAGAGGGGGTAACGTCCACTCGACACAAACTACGTCATTTCGGGACTAATATATGCTTCAATTTTATTTCAATAATTTGGTTTCGCGTAGGGGTTTATAGCAGTGGGGGGGGGGGGGGCGGAGGAACCTAGAGAAAACCCACGAGGTTGGACAAACGACCCTACTCATTGTCATGTACAACCGGGGAATCGAAACCACACCAGTTGACTCAATGCCAGACCTTATGATACAATGCACACGCGCTAACCATTCGGCCATCCAACTCCCCTAGTTATTTTATAAATTACATTGTGGACAATTATTACGGATTATCTCGATAATATCTCCATATGCAATTTCCTGTTTGCTTCACTTAATCCTTTGATTGCCTCATTTTTTTTAAAGACCCACGAATGCACGAACTATTTTTTTTTTATCTTGAATGCGGAAGGATCTTGTTTATTACTTAACGTGCCTAATTTGTTGTTTTTATTTATTTATTTAAAGGTTAAACTGAGGTCGACTTGTTTACTAAATTCAGTCTAATTTTTGACTGGCTGTGTCGACAGTGGAACAAAATATCGGTAAGGTCTGATTTTATTTATAGAATAATCTTAATTCATGTTATAAAACAACACTTCCTCTTTTTTTCCATTTGTTATAAATAGTGTGTAATAACTTATTTAATTTATATGTTTTTCACCATTATTTTATAGTATGTACATAGCAGATCTCTTTATTATATGTTTTATATTCCTTGTATGAGAATGAGGAGAGGGGTGATATAGGCTATGCCTGTTCCCTGATCCCTTTTCATAAATTTTGAAATAAAATATTGTTTACAAAAAAAAAAAAAAAAAAAAAAATGGTTCTACAGACGTAAATTTTGACTTGTTATATGGATTGGGTGTGGTTACTTGCGCATTGGTTACATATCAAGTTTATAACTAACGATTGATAGACCCTAACGTTGTCTTCTTCTCAATCGCCTGTGTAACTATCATCCAGGTTAACCCCCCCCCCCACACACACACACACACCTCTCAGCTATTTATTGTTGCATAAACTTTGAATTTTCTGTTCTATTTTATGTTTTCTTTAAATGGCATTTAGTAATTGGAACATAATCGAATAACACACTATTTATGGATTTATTTGTGTTATATGCTTGATAACGACTTGTGAAACCTTGTTGAAACGTTACAGTGAAATAAACCATAGTAATTGTTATCCATATATCGTTATAACAGAGTATTATATTAAATATACTAAACGTCAATTATCTTACAGGCAAACGCCTCAAGTTTACTTAAAGGGGTACGTGACAAGGAGTAGGGTTGCCTGTCCAACCTCGTGGGTTTTCTCCGGGTCCTCCGGTTTCCTCCCATTGATAAAGACTCCTACGCGCAAGCGAATTATTGAAATAAAATCAAACCATATGTTAGTCCCAAAATGACATAGTTTGTGTCGCGTGGACGTTAAACCCCATTTCTCTCTCTCTCTACTTAAAGGGTATTGTGTAAGATTTAGATAAAGGGCTGGTCGTTCTTGCTATATAATGCAAAATGAATATATTGAAAATTTCAGTCAAATTACTTTATTTTGGGCGAGGTTATCAATGGTTGTAGTTTTGACAAGACGTGTGCATTGATCGTAACCACCGTACTGGTCATTCAAGTCTTAGTCTTGCTTCTCCATTCTTAAATTAAATCATTAAAGGGCCGAACAGTTCTAATCTACTGCCAGTATTTAAATGCCAATCAACCAACTAACATTAATGGTGAAGAATTATGATGATATATCCATCTCGACACTAAAGCATTCAAACTATGACACTTTCATTTGATTACGTCATTGTGATTTCAGGTGACGTAATCACATCTCGATGGGGTTTGACGTCCTACTCCTACTGTTCTAAAATGAAATGAAATGAAATGGGGTTTAAAGTCCTCTGTACTGCTCCTATACTGGGCTAATGATAACGGGCATACGCCATACAATGTGCTATGAGGGGAATTTTTCCCGGGCAGCGGCACTATGTCCTTCTCTTATTTTGAATTCCTTTACATGCACGCCAATGTGTACACGGGACCTCGGTTTTTCGTCCCATCCGAACGACTATACGTTGTCCCTTGCTAGGACCTCCGTCGTGCATCACTGACAAAAGGGAACCACACCGTAAAATCCAGATGAACTCTCTCGGTCATCACCGTCCGGGTTAGCCAGCCAACATCTTACTCACTGAGTCACCGCGGCTCCCCCACCCCGACGAGCCCTGACACCATAAAAAGATGTGAAGAGCGACACCCCACACTATTATATCGTGGAAGCAGATGTTAACATCATCGAAGAAGAAGACCGCGCTAATTTTGGAAAATGTGTGGACGCGAAATTATAAGCTCCACTTAATCATACATTGACCAATCAGATTAAAATACAGGGCCCTGTTTCTCGAAATCTTAACTAAAGATAAAATCCAAATTTTAATACACACTTCAATTTTGATTGGCTAAGCACTAAAATCAATCTAATATTATCCAATCAAATTACTAAAATTTGGATTTTATCTTAGTTAAAATTTCGTGAAACAGGCCCAAGATCTGTATTTCGTTTCGTTTTTTTTTTTTAATATTTTCGATGGCCTCTAATACATGAAAATCTGACCAGTTGTAGTGGAAGGTCGTATCAGGGGTCATACGAGCGGCTTTTAACACTATGACGTCAGACATTTGATTAATCAATCAGCGTTGATGTTTCTAGTGGGTTAGCAACAGTTCCGTGCACCTCACACCAAAAACTCGCCATAACAGACCGTTTCATTGGCTAATTCCCCACATCATCCAGAACGCGGGTTATATAACAACTTTTCCGGATCCTAGTGTAGTAAAGACAGGTAAAACGAAATTTTAAACTATAAAAAACGAAACGAAATAGGATCTGTGTTTTAATCAGATTGTACATTGACATGCGTCCACGAGCATGGATAGTGTTTCAGATCGTCTTCTGGAGGATTTTTGACTCATCAACGCCCACGGTCTTAGCATGGATGCTATTATAGAAAAACAAACATTTCTTTGTCTACTTCAGCCATTTATTTCACGAAGCTGTTTTGTATACTACGTCATATTCCTGGCATAGCTATCATTTCTGGTTGGTGCTTTAAACATAAATAATGCTAGAGGTAAATCTGCCGATTTCCAGGTCTCTCTGTATCCTTGAAATGTTATATAAATTATTAATTAGACATTAATTAACTTACCCAAACCATAATCAACCCTCGATTTGCTGTTCCACGTCCGTTTATGAGTAAACGCAAAAATGGATAATCGAGACTTTGTTAATTATCGTGACAGCGGTAACAATGACAATCAAGTCTACAGATATTTTAAAATAAGGTTTTCTCGGCTTAAATTGAAACAGCTTGACTGCAATTTTCAGCATAATATTCCATTTACATCATCTAGTTTTTAACTATTATAGGTGAGAACTGTCAGCTCTTTATTTAATCTTACATAATGTATCTTTAATTAGCTTTAATCCGAGTCCATACTCATGTTTGTGCATATTCATTTCTGTTCGAATCGTGCTCATGAAAAATTATCATACTCATGTCATGCTTCACATTTCAACAAAAGATCGGCCATTAATTGGTCAGTGTTGGCCGATAACAAGGTTTTGTGAAGTTAAAACTATTATCAAAAAACGGTAAAACTTGAGTATGGAGAGTTGAGTGACAACACCTTCTTTGTCTTCTCCAAATTCGCGGTGTGGTCAGGCTGTCTTTAGTAGTCCCTTTAACTTAGCTATTAACACCCGTATAATATTTATATGTGTCGTACTATATATACCTCTAGACGATTTCGTTTTTTTTTTTTGGAAAGCTACTGAACAGTTTAGGGGCGGAGTCAAGAATACACCTACATGTCAATCTTTGTCGAATGACAAAAGAAATGTTTTTACATGAATGATTGTTTGGAAATAGAGCTCGGCGACCCGTGAGACAAATGTTCGAAGTTGAAGTTTGACAGTCAGGTAGTCGTGAAGCTCACCACAGAGGGTCAGCATGGCGGAGCAGGGTAAAGAGAAAAGACAATTGGCCGTGGCCTTGCCACCTGAGGGAGATGCAGACGGCTATGAACGAGAAACGTGGTCAAATAAACTTGATTTTCTTTTAGCCTGTATTGGTTTTAGTGTTGGTCTGGGAAATGTCTGGAGATTTCCGTACCTGTGTTACAAAAATGGTGGCGGTAAGTTAAAAAACATTTTATTATTTTTAAACTGTATTTTTTATGATCCTGATTCCCCCATTAAAGATAGTGTCTGATTAGTTTTACAAGTTCTCTTCCATGATTTAAAGACGCCGTTTTAAATGAAATATGTTTTTCTAGTAGTAGTTAAGATGCCATTTAAGGGGCCCGGGGAATATTTATGCTTGAACAAATTAATATTTTTTTAAACCCTTTTAATGACGTTTTGTAATGATATTTTTAAAACGAAAACACACGCCTTTATCTAAACATAAAACAAGTTTTTTTGTGCTTCTTTTTATTTCTTCCATGCAAGATTGATTTTAAAATATCAGCTCAGAAAATATAAAACAAGATAAACAAGTAAATGCCTATAAATATATACTTATATATGCATTATCATGGCATTTATATGATTTATATTGTCATCACGTTTAACACAATTTCTTATTTAGTTGATAGTGTAATTCATATGTTTAGCTCCGTACATCCAGGTAATAGGTAGGGCACACCCATATCAAATGACTTGATGTCCACAGCTATAATTGATGACCTGTCCGTCAAATATAAATAGTTTGAAAAATAATCTACCTTGAATACCACACATAGACGTTATATACGTACATCATTGTGCTCAAATTGCAGACGACTAGAAGACTGTACTATAAAATCTCGATTGACCGGTTTTGGAAACCTATACCTTGCTTTGTAAATGACTTTGCGGGCTAAAATTTTTGTATGATTTTTTTCTTAACTGAACTAATGAGTGGGTCATTAATACTTGTTATATTGGCTGGATGGGGCAGAGTGGGTCATTGATACTTGGTATATTGGCTAGATGGGACAGAGTGGGTCACTGATACTTGGTATATTGGCTGGATGGAGCAGAGTGGGTCACTGATACTTCGTATATACGCTAAATGTAACCACTGCAGCCTATCCTTAGCGAACCCATAATGTACCTGTTTGTTTATTTGACGGATAGTCGAATGTTGTTAACCCTGTCAGGATATTTGTACATTATTAAAAAAAAAAGAGGGCACGCAATCTAACACAGTGTGTGTGACCTTAACCGAGTTCATTCAAATTGAAAAAAACAAGAGCGACAGAAGCAATAGGCGAAACACTCCACCGTTTACGTGTCTTATTTGATCCGCATGTGTGCCCTTAATCGAGTTCATTCAAAATGAAAAAAAAAACAAGAGCGACAGAAGCAATAGGCGAAAAACTCGACCGTTTAAGTGTCTTATTTGATCCGCGTTCCTTTCTTGTATATCATTGTCGTATAACACAATTATATAACAACTCTAATGTACCCTCACACTTATCTATTGTAGTGATTAGTAAAGTCATAAATAAGGTCTTAAAGAAATAAAAACCTCATTATACTTTACAAGTTACGTAAAGTTGTCCCTCTTTTGCCCTTTCTAATTTCCATTGTTAAACATGTATTTATGACAGCTCAGGTAGCATTAGTTCATTACACTATCTCTTTAATAGAATTAATTTCGCTCTAACTGGCCATTGTCATTATGACAAATGTCGGTATAACAAGTTACCCTGTGGCTAAACATCATGTGACCGTTTCTTTAATTGTATTAAAGGTACGCTATTGTTTTTAAACATTAGTTTCTGTACAAATGCCGCAGTCAACGGTTTATTTGAAGACTGCAATGAGTTAATCATACAGCAGTTGATATTTATTTTATTTTTTTAAAAAAACCCAACAAAACCTTAGATAATTTAAATAACAACTGACACCAGTCTTGGACATTAACTGTTTGACCAGTGGGTCTTGACATCGTAACATATTCAGTGGATCGTATTACCGTAATATATTCAATGGGGAAATGAAATGAAATTGGGTTTAACGTCCTGCTGGTCTGCCCCGACTGGGCTAATAAAGATGGGCATACGCTATACAGTGTGCTATGAGGGAAATTTTGCCCGGGCAGCGACACTATGACCTACATTTATATCGAATTTCAATTGCCAAGGATCTTTTACGTGCACGCCAATGTATACACGGGGCCTCGGTTATCGTTCCATCCGAAAGACTAGACAGCTGTCCTTGTCAGGACCTCCGTCCTGCACCACTGACAAGGGGAAATCACGCCAGAAAATCAAATATTCAGTGGATCTTGTCAATATAACGTTTTCAATGAATCTTGTCAACGACGGTTTAATATCTATCGTATTTATTTATTCTCCCAATTCATTGCTCTTTACAATTTCAAGGGGACGTTTCCACTTAAATTAAAAGGTCCAAATTCTTTCCAAATGAAACGCTTGAACAAGTCGGCATATATAAAACAGTACGGGTGACTGACTTCAGGTTGATGATAAACTAAATAATCTGACAACCGTGCAATAGTTCATGTTTTTATACACAAAATAGGCTTGAATAGTAATCCACGCAAAACGAAACCTACAATACAAACCCGTGGACAAGAGAAACTACATAGACCTTTCTAAAGACAGGAGAAACTACATAGACCTTTCTAAAGACAAGAGAAACTACATAGACCTTTCTAAAGACAAGAGAAACTACATAGACCTTTCTAAAGACAGGAGAAACTACATAGACCTTTCTAAAGATAAGAGAAACTACATAGACCTTTCTAAAGATAAGCAAGAGAAACTACATAGACCTTTCTAAAGATAAGAGAAACTACATAGACCTTTCTAAAGATAAGAGAAACTACATAGACCTTTCTAAAGACAAGAGAAACTACATAGACCTTTCTAAAGACAAGAGAAACTACATAGACCTTTCTAAAGATAACAGAAACTACATAGACCTTTCTAAAGATAAGCAAGAGAAACTACATAGACCTTTCTAAAGATAAGAGAAACTACATAGACCTTTCTAAAGATAAGCAAGAGAGAGAGAGAAATGGGGTTTAACGTCCACTCGACACAAACTAGGTCATTCCGGGACTAACACATGGTTCAATTTTATTTCTTAAGCAGTGGGAAGAAGCCGACCGGAGGACCCGGAGGACCCGGAAAGAACCCACGAGGTTGGACAGACGACCCTACTCCTTGTCACGTACAACCGGGGACTTGAAACCACGCCAGTTGACTCAATGACAAAGCTTCAGCGCGCAGGTGTAACAGAGCTTATGACTTAAAATGCACAGACTAGATCTCTGGCTAGGGTGATCCACCATATCTCCAAATATCTCGATAATTTCACCACAATATCTATATATACGCCAAGCCTTAAATCAATTTCGCATATTTATGGTCAGTAAATCAACGGTGATGTTGTACTTAATAAGCTATGACCATTTAACCATCCATAAATAATACACTGATAGATGGTTACGAGTGTCGGTCATAACATCCGAGCACATGTGAGTAAAAAAATAGATTACGAAATTAGACTCGCTTAACCTGTCTATCGACCATTCGACGTCTGATTCACAGGCCGGGATAATCAAACATAACAGAAAGTTTGAACAAGAAATTGAATTTAGAAACATGTATGTTAGGCAACTCAACAATTGTTTTAAGAACCTTGTAGTATCGTGTTCTTGTCTAACGCATGTGTTTCAGAGATATTATTTGTACAAAACCAAAAGATGCCGCTTCTAACGATAAGGCAATTTAGAAAATAAAACGAACGTAATTTCTAAAGCTGCAGTAATAACCAAAAAGCTAATTATTACTGCTATTCAGAAATGTCAACAATATTACGGCTGTAATAGTAGATAGATGTGTAGAGAATTGCACGTGCGATGGCTATTTATGATCTCATATACTCTAGCCCTGAGTATTATCATACTGTGTGGTTAGCCAGAAATCACTTCGAGACAAGCCTCTGAAGCGAGCACATTCGCCGTGTCGAGACCAGCTTTCTGTAGGGAAAATTTTCACTGCACGGGGGTCACCCTAATCTGGCGCGTATACAACCAGCACATTCGCCATGTCGAGTCCAACTTTCTGTAGGGAAAATTTTCACTGCACGGGTCACCCGACTCTGGCGCGTGTACAACCGACCGGCGGTAGTTCACCCCATCTCATCATGGACACATTAAATCATCGAACGGTATGAGATAAGATATGTTATTATGGAAGCTCAACGATTTTTTTTATCTTTTTATAGGTCTCTTAAAGATACAAGGTTGGGTTATATAATTCAATTTATATAATTCAGTTTATATATTAAAGGGCCCTCCCTTTTTTAAATTGCTGTCTACCGCTGTGCTAGCCATGTTTAGATGTAGGTCATTGACCCATAATACGATGCAATGAAATGTAATGAAATGGGGTTTAACGTCCTACTGTTCTGCTCCTAAACTGGGCTAATGAAGACGGGCATACAGCATACAGTGTGCTATGAGGGAAACTTTGCCCGGGCGGCGGCTCTTAAGGCCTACTCTTGTATCGAATTCCAACTGCCAAGGGATCTTTTATGTGCACGTCAATGTATACACGGGACCTCGGTTTTTCGTCCCATCCGAACGACTAGCCAGCTGTCCTTGTCACTGACAAGGGGGAACTACTTCGGAAAATTCCCATGAATTTTCTCGGTCAATGCAGGGATCAAACACCCAACCTCCAGGCTAGCGAGCCAGCGTCTAAGCCACCGTGGCTCCCGTATTTACAATACGAAGATCTACTGAATAAAGATTATTATTATTATGTTTATCTACATTGAAAAGAAACGTGCACATGGTGTTACGGTATGCAGTAACGAATTAGGAAATAACGACTGGTATCCTGGTATCAGCACGATGAAGTGTGAAATGAAATGAATAATAAGTCATATTTTCTTTTGTTACCTTATGAGTATATTAATAATAACAACTTACGTTTGATATGCTGCATTGAATAGCAATTACTTATAATGAGACCGCGTACATAATCGGTAATGAAGGGGATAGACCCGAAAACAGATCTGTGCGGAATTCCATACTAAAGCTGTTTCACCTCTAAATAATGGAAATTATACCTAAGGCAATTTGTTAATTACATGTATGTTTCAAACACTC